CTGAATTAAACCCCCCCCCCCCCCCGTTTCCGTTCGCCCCTCGCGTCACCCCCCGATTACACCGAACAAGACCGAGGCTCCTCGTCCGAGACAGAGTCTCCTCGGTTCGACGGCTCGCGCCCACCCCCCTCCCGCCACCGCCGCCGCGAGGACGGGGACGGAGAGGAAGAGGCCTCCTCCTCCGCGAGCCCTCGGTACGCCATCATCTACCCCAAGAGGACGTCCCTAAGCCGGCGGCTTCGTGTGGAAGACGACGCGTTCTTGGATTTCGTCACGACTCTTCTGCTCGTCGACCCTACCCGCAGGTGTGGTGTGTGTGCGTGTGTGTGCGCGCGCATGGCGACCGATGAATTCGTCGGAAAAGGGGTGCAAACGTATGCCGTAGTCGTGAGACCATAGACCTCGCATCCCTACAATGCCGGGACGGAGCGACATGCCGGTTTTTTCGCCGGCGGAGGCTGAGTTTCACGGGGGTTGTTGCATGCGAATGTAGTCCTCTTTTCGGTCATGTAGCTCCGTTTTGGTTCTGGCTTGTGACGTAGTTTGTCGGTGCACCGGATAGTATCTTCATGTAGGTGAGCTTGCGTTGACCTTGTTATTTTTTTCTGTGTCCGGGTTGCTTGGCTATGTTCGGGTTCAGGAATGCCTTTTATTTTAGGCTTTGGCGGAAACTGCATGCTGGTACTTTGGGAAGTGGTAGTTCTTTTTCGTAAAACGCTGATCACCCCCCTCCCCCCCCAAAACGAATGAACAACTTGCAAAATGGAATACAATAGGCCAACCGCGACGAAAGCTCTGTGCCACCCCTGGATCCTGTCTGGCCTATCCTACCCCGACGACGACCTGTGGTATCCCCCGGACGAAGAACAAGAACAAGACGACGTCCACGGCGAGCATGCCACCGGGGCTCGCGACGGGGAGGACGTCGGGGGCGACGTACAAATAGGGGTTCGCGGCGGCGGCGGCGGCGGCGATGGGGTGGGTTTCCAATCGGACGACCATGGTGACATCGGTGTGTTTTTGGACGGGGATGGAGAGTACATGCCATCGGTCCGACGACAGTCGTTTTGAACCAGCCCCCCCCCCCCCCCCCCCCCTTTTTTTTTTTTTTCCGAAACGGAAATATCCCGGGGGAAACGGGCCCCTCCCCTCCGCATATAAAAAGGGGGGGAAGGGCCCCCCCC